AATTAATTTTTTTAAAATATTGATCTCCAAACTAATTAAATTCTAAATTTAATTTGTAAAACAACAGTTACTTATTATTGAATTTAACTTGGCTGGATTCCAAACACAATCTTATTATTAGGATTTACATGATTGAGCAGCCTGGTTGAGTTTCTCCACAACCGCTTCCATACCCGCACCAGCGGTCGTAAATGGGTCTCCCATAACACGGATCGTTTGGAACTCGCCCACCACAGGAACATGGGCCCCAAAGCCTTCCGCTGTAGCATTTAAAACAACAAAACCCCCAAAGTTGCAGATCTACATGTAGTTTAGGCGGAGACGGCGGAGGCTTAGGCTTCTCAGGCGGCTTTGGCTTTACGATCTCAATGCTCTTGATGCATCCACAACCCTTGCAGCGTAACTTGTCCCTGATCTTCTCCGGCCAGCAGCTCACCACCTTAATTGTCACCTTGTTTGCCTTCTCATCATACTCCTGATCTCGTATTTCTTTAATTAATTTGTTCACAACACAACGACTCAGTCCACTTGGCTAATCAGTCCATATATTGATATACATATACGTACACAAATTATATTTAACAAATTATGTATTAATTAATTAGGAGAGAACAATATTAATTGAAGAAAGGGAGTCATCACCAGGAAAATTGCAGAGCAGTTTTTTGATCTTTTTGTAGCATTTTGAGCACTGTAGATCCACTACATTCAGCAACATTGTTGTCACCTGCAAAAGTGTATATATATATATATATATATGCCATGAAGCATCATTATTAGACAAGGAATTTAATTTCAGAAAAAGGATTAATTATAAGCAAATTAAAATTAGGGTGCCATATATATGCATCAAACCAAAATACATAATTAGATATACATATGTATATATATCCTTAATTTTCATCAAGAGAGAGTGAGGTATAACGGCCACAGAAAAGAGAGAGAGAAAAAAAAAAGATTAGTATAAATTTAGCACAAACCTTTTCGGCCATAGCTGCTAATTTTTTAGAGAAGTTTCTTGATCTTCTTGTAGCATTTTGAGCACTGTAGGTCCACATTTAGCACCATTGTTGTCCGCTGTAAAAGTATGTTTAGATATGCAATATATATTATTGAACATCAATCACCATATATATATATATATATATATGCCAAGCATGCATCATTTATTATTAGAGAAGGACTTTTAATTTCTGAAAAAGGATTAATTAAGTGGAAAAAGAAGATTCAGGTTCTGATACTTA